TAAAAAGCATAATTACGCCTAAAAGATAAAAATATGCTATAAAAAGAGTTTCAACTAAAATAAAAATCTTGGCAAGTTTTGGAAAAATGCGTCCCGATTTCACTCTATATGGCGGAATAGGTACCCTACTTGAGGTTGCATAGACCACCCAAGTTGGAGACATGCGGTCGCATAGGTCTTCGATTCAACCCCCTCGACCATTACTTGAACCAAGTTGATTCATCTTGTTCCTTCCTCCATACACAATATGAAACTTGTTATTTCGCTTGTTATAGTCAAACTTTCGTCCATCGTAACTTGAACAAGTAATCCTCTGGCATCTTAACCTTTTTTAATCATGATTTAGTCATTGATTGTTCCTCCACAATCAATGGGTCATTGTCCTTACTAGCTCTCGTACCATAGTTCTCATCATTCCCTAATTCTTCAAAAGGATTCGTCCTCAAATCTCTATCTACATCAGACACGAAAAGATAAAAATAAAAAATAAAAGTAGCTGAAATGTTTACACTCACCCGGAATATCAAATTTATAAGCATTGTCATTAATCTTTTTAAGTACTTGGAATGGTCCATCTCCTCTTTATTGCAACTTTAACTTCCTTAGAGCTAGAAAGTCTACCTTTCTCATATGCACCCAAACCCAATCTCCTTGTTCAAATATAATACGCTTTCGTCATTTATTTGCTTGAAAAGTATAATGCTCATTTTTCTTCTCAGTCTAGCATTGCACCTTTTCATGGAGAAATTTTATCAACAGTAAATGAATTGAATCCAAACGTTAGTTGATTAAAACCATAAATAATTTCAAATGGAATATAAGAAGCGGTAAAATCCGTGGCCCATATTGTATGCAAACTCAATTAATGATAAGCAATCCTCCCAACTCTTTAAGTACTTAATAACTACATGTACGCAATAGTTGTATAATAGTCATATTAACAATCTCAGTTTGTCCATTCGTTTGTTAGTGACAAGTTGTACAGAATAATAGTTTAGTCCCAAACTTACTCAACAAAATTTTCCAAAATCGACTAAGGAACTTAACATCTGTGTTCGATACAATACTTCTAGATACCCCATGTAAGTACACTACTTTAAAAAATAAATCTACAATATTAATGGAATCATCAGTTTTATGAAATGAAATGAAATGTGCCATCTTACTAAATATATCTACAATTACAAATATGGAATCTCTTCCTTTCTTAGTCCTAGGTAAACCTTACACAGAAAGTTCATAGACACATCAACTCAACGCTCACTAGGAACGGGTAATGGTGTATACAAACCTTAATGTAAAACCTCAGACTTAGCATTATTACAATTGATGAATCTACTACCATTCCGATCAACATCAACTTTCATCTTTAGCCAATAAAAGTGTTCTGTAACATCTCCAAGGTCTTCTTAGTCCCAAAGTGACCCATTAAACTTCCACTATGTGCTTCATGTACTAATAATTCTCTTTTTGAACACCTAGGTACACATAACTTATCCTCCCGAAATAAATATCCAACATGCTTAAAGAATCTATCATAGCACCTTTATCACATGATTCATATATATTAGAAAAATCTAGGTCATTGGCATACATGTTCTTAACATATTCAAATCATAGCAATTTGGCACCTAAAGTGATAAGAAGTACGTACCTCCTTGAAGACGCATATGCGACCACAATTTCTTTACCTCATTTGTACCAAATAACATACGAAAAGGTCTCGATAAACTCCATCTGCCTTGCATTCCTCTTGTTTAGTTTACCTTGACCCTTTAAATACTTCAAGGATTCATAATCAGTGTGGATCAAAAACTCCTTTGGCCATAAGTAGTGTTGTTGTCCCCAAAGCTCGAATAAGTGCATACAATTCCTTGTCATGTGTAAAATAGTTGAGAGCTACTCCACTTAGCTTTTCACTAGTATTCAATCTAAAAAATATTGTTAAAGTTAGTTAATGATAATACCATTGCAGTACACAACTTATCCTTAATAGTGTTAAAAACATGTTTTTGTTCAACGTCCCAACAAAATCATACACTTTTCTTTACAATCTCTGTGAGTAGGTTAGCAATTGTTCTAAAGTCTATAACAAAATGCCTATAGAAGTTAGCCAAACCATAAAAACTTCTTACCTCGGTTATACTTTTTGGTGTTGGCCACTCCTTGATGGCTTGGATTTTCTCCTCAACCACCTCAATTCCTTTAGAACTAATAACATAACCAAGAAAAACAACATTTTTCCATGTAAAATCTACACCTTTTAAAGTTAGCATAAAGTTGTTTTTGTCTTAAGACCACAAACACATATTTTAAATGTCATATATGCTCATTTAAATATTTACTATATCCCAAGATATCATCGAAGAAACTACTATAAATTTACGCAAGACATGATTCATTAATCTCATAAACATACAAAGTGTATTAGTAAGTCCAAATGGCATGACTAACCAATCATATAAATCATACTTAGTTTTAAAAGCAGTCTTCTACTCATCTCCCTATCTCGTCCTAATTCGATAATTTTCACTTTTAAAATCTATTTTGTTATACATGTAGGATCCATGTAATTCATTTAAAATATCACGATGATATTTTTATCGTTATTTCGTTGGTTGCCCGATAGTCTAAACACATTCTCCAAGTAACATCTTTCTTCGGCACAATTAGCATTGGCATGACACATGGACTCATGATTTCCTTCATATATGCTTTGCTCATCAATTCTTCCACGTGTGAAGTTCTTTGGTTTCTTCGGGATTACTCCTCTAAGCCGGCTCGTTTGGAATGACAGCTCCAGGTACATTGTCAATTTGATGCTCAATGCCTCAAATGAGTGTTAACCCATTAGGCATGTCCTTCGAAAATAAGTTTTCGAATTTCTGAAATAAAGAAGCAGTTAAACTAGGAAAGGGTATCTTAGACTCCTCAAAGTTGAGGAGTGATTCCTTATAAACCAACAAGATGATAGGTCAGTTTTCAACTACTATCCTCTTCAACTCATTCCCTTTTACAAATAAATTCAGTTTCAACTTTTCTTTTCTATCAAAAGAATCTTTTTCTTTACTCTCTTGTGGGTCAACCCTTTAATTCTTATAATTAGCCACCTTACTCTTTGATTTCTTACTATCTTATTGTAAAAGATCAATCTCACTTTCTTTTTCTCTCATTCTTTTATCTACCTCACTTTTTAATTTGATTTAATCTTCATAAACTTGTTTTGGTGTTGACGGCTCAAGAGTAACATATTTCCTATCTTTAGTAAAACTGTACCTAATTTTGTACCCACCATGCAATACCTTCCTATCATATTGCCATGACTCTCTAACAAAATATGCCCAACTTGCATAGGAACTATATCACACATCATTTCATCATGATAGCTCCCCATTGAGAAACTAACCAACACTCGTCTATTCGCCCTAACCTCACCACATTTATTCATCCATTGCAATTTGTAAGGCCTAGAATATTTTAGCATAATTAACCCCAATTTCTCAACAAGTGTAGTGCTAACCACGTTGGTACAACTACCCATTATCAATAATTGCATACTACATACCTTGTTGTTAACATAGCATCTCATAAGAAATATATTTTTGCCCTTTATTATTCGAAGTCATCCACTTTGATTTGATTACTAAGAGCTCGCCTTGTAACCAATAACTCTCTAATTGCATACTCCACTTTCTCACCATCACTAGCATCCTCCAATTTTGGTATGTCATTATAGTCATCCTGACTATCACTCATTACTTCTCCATTGTCTTGTTAGATCATCGTCCTTTTGTTCGGACATTGAGAAGCAATATATCCCGATCCCATACACCTAAAGCATTCGATATCTCGATTCCTAGGAGGTTGGACAACGAAAGGAAGGACAACGAAAGTCATCATAAAAGTCAGATCTGTTAGAATCACTTGTCTCTTTGAACGGCAATCTTGGTGAAAATTTCAGCTAAAGAATAAAATATAAAGGTTGAAGTTTTGAATATTAACAAACAAAAAAGTTAAAAACAAGCTAACTTAAGATAAGGGACCTTCACTGCAGTTTTTCTTTAGATAAACTGATAGGTGACACCTTGCTACGTGACATCAAAAGAGTGTCTGTTGCAATCCACGTCTCACCATCTCTAATTGAACTTTGCTACACAAACGATTGTCTTGTATTTTGTTCAAAACTGATGAATGTCATCTCTTAGAAAGTACTTATCAGAAAAAGTTCAGATGCACTTACTCAATGAACATTTGTTTTATAAATATATTTATTGTTCTTCATCTTATAAATTCAATAGAAAACGATTGACATGTAAAAACTTATTCAAAACAACAATAATTAGTCTGTATACAATAGAAAATGATTAAGCAAACTAGGTAAAGTCATATTGAATGGTAAAAAATGACATAGACATTTACATATTATTTACATATACCTACCTTTTTTTCTTTCCTTTTTTATTATTTTTATTATTGTTCTTCATCTTATAAATTCAATAGAAAACGATTGACATGTAAAAACTTATTCAAAACAACAATAATTAGTCTGTATACAATAGAAAATGATTAAGCAAACTAGGTAAAGTCATATTGAATGGTAAAAAATGACATAGACATTTACATATTATTTACATATACCTACCTTTTTTTCTTTCCTTTTTTATTATTTTTATTATTTTATATATATATATATATATATATATATATATTTAAAAGCTTAAGCCATTAAAAAGAAACACATTTATTTATTTTAGATGTAATTTTCAACACCCCTCCTTACATGCTATCTTCTTTCTTCATCAAAGACATATAAGGAAAAGGGTCGTAAAAGTCATAGCTCAAGTGACGAGAGTGACACCTTATCAGACTAATGACCTTGGTTCAAGCTCCTTTTGATGGGAGGGGTAAAATTAAAATCCATTGATCTTCATTTAAAAGTTAAAAATAAAATCATAAACTGACGGTGCTAGAATTAGAACATAGGACATCGATACCACATCGAACCAACTCATTTAAGAGCTTTGAACATAATCAAGATATAAGATAAGGTTCAAATCCATTCAACAATCATAAGATTCAACATGATACATCCATCCTAGGAATGTACTAGGAAAAAAAAAAAGAGACATTTTCAGTATAATTTATCTCAAGAAGTGGTATCGAGAGCAGGAGAAGCAATGGTGGATCCAAAGCCAGTTCCAGTTCCGCTAGTTCAAACTGTAACACTGGTTGGTTAAAATGGTTTGGCAGCCTCTTCCATCATCTTCTTTGCTCTCATCAATTTTTCAATCTCCTTGAGTGCCTAGATTCATCTCAGCTTTATTAATAGTCTGCTTTCCAGTTAATTAATTTCAAGAATAGGTTAATCAAATTCACCTCCATGCACAGATCTTCTGCATCCACAGCATTCAATTCATTGTAACCTAATTCCGAAGCTACTTCTGCCAATTACAGTAGATAGTTTAAACAAAGAGTGAGTATATGATGTGAAAAGTAGAAATTATCACAAGGACTGACTTTGGATTGAAATGGTTGCATCAGCTGTAGCATATCCACTTCGCCGACATTCATACAGTGTATTGAGTTGAGCCAAAACCTGTAATCGGGAAGACATCAATCCACGTAGGATGTGAAGAACCAGTTCGGTATATAATACTGGACGGATGCTAATAGAAAAGCCATAATTCTCATATATGGTAGCTGCATCTTTTAAGAATAAAAACTGTCTAAGATAATAGAAGACACCTCAGGAGAAGATCCAGATATCAACATATCAGTAGCAGAAAGTTGAATTCTATCTTCCACAATCTCTCTGGCCACCAAGTCTAAAGGAACATCGATCCATATGGTAATTCCATGCCTCAAAAGTGCCCTATAAATGAAGTCAACTCACTTTTAATGCCAAGTATATACACGTCATGAGATACGTGATTAAAAATGCTTGTGCCATTCATACAGATTGCTAGCATCTTTAACTGCTCCATTCCCAGCACAAACAACCAGGCGAACCATGGACGACAACTGCTTCAGTACCTCAGTCTGCAATTACTTTTAAAAGGTTTATTCAATCGAAATGACACAACTAATAAACAAAATTTGACATCTCTAATGGTCACCTCTGAGGCAAGAAATCCCTCTTCATCTCTCTCTATGTATGATATTGCTGCAGTTTTTCCACCGGCAGCTTCCTCAACCAGACTATCGCTGCAGTTAGCATAACAGTTGATCCACACTTATGTCACCCACTACATACAATAATATCTCTATTACGATGAAGTTTCAACCAAAAGCACCTGTCGAAGTAGTAATATCGTAATGTATCGGCAAGAATTTTCCCCAAGTTCGATTTGAAGGTGCTGTTTATCCCTTTAGTAAATTAATTATCACATCAGACATAATAAACGTGAATGTATTTGGAAATACAAGGGACATTAAGTTAGATTTTAAAAAATAACTCACCAACAAGAAATATAGAAGTTCCCTTTAAATTAGGGGATATCTCCGCTGCTCTCTTCTGAAATGAACTGAACAGTTACTATTAGTTGTTTAAATTAGATGTTGAATCAGATGAGAAGCCTCAATTGTTCAAATTACGTGGAACCGAAAACTCACTTTAATAGCTAAGGAAAGATCAACTTGAGCAACCTCCGTCGCCACTGAATCTAAATTGAACAAAAAGGTTTTTAGAATGATGGTGGTGCATCTTAGTCAACGAGTACAAAGCTCAAGAATTCGAAAAGAAACTCAAAGAATAACGAATTCCTTGGTATATAGCAGGCATATAAAAAAATATTAAGGTGCATTCCCCTGGCGCTATCAGATTGAGTTATCTGCATTGGATATTGAGCACAAACAACACAAACTCATTTGGAAGTTAATAATTCTGCTAAAGATGATTTCCAAAAACTACATTTTCACTACTTTCTCGGAAAGCAACTTGTAATTATTAGTCAAACAGTTTAATTCAACAAGTTCTAAATTGTACTCAGTAACATAGCAACTCAAAGCTCCCAATACTTAACTAAATTCGCAATTCACCAAAAAAAATAAAAAAATCCTATTTGTATCAAACATATAAAAGAACAAGACGGTAGTGGTACCGGGACTGGCAGCAGACAAGACGAATCCATTGCGAGAAAAAATTGATCTTGGGTGAAATCGGGAGTAATAATTAACAGAGTAATTTCGAGAGTTGGAATAGAAAATTCGAGAGTTGAGGCGAGGTTGAAGGTAGTTTCTGCATCCGCAACTTGCTTGGATTATCTCCATCCAATCCTCCAAATCCTATCCGGATCCTGGATTTCAGTTCTCAGTGTTTCTTCTTTATTTTCATTTTGCACTTTTACTGGATAGTGTCAGCTGTCGAACTTAGGCCCAATTCGACCCGGTTGGCCCAGCCCACTTCTTTTAGAATTATTTTTACTTTATTTTGTCGAATGATTATGTATATAAAAGGAATAAAACCATGTAAATAATTTATTTAGGTAATGAATAAAAGCTTGTTGTTATGAAGACAGAAAAGAGAAAAAAAAAAATATAGAGAAGTCCATAGATTTTTGTGTTTTTATTAATAATCAAAGTCCTATATTTATAATTAGGGATACAACGAAAATAATTTTTAGGACTGTAGGAGTACAATAGTTATTCAATAATAAACTTATCATTTACAATATGACATATCACAAAATATCTACCTCCTTAAAACCTTATTTGATTAAAAGTCAATGGAAAAAAAGAAGATGCAAATGAATGAAAAAGAGTATAATTATTTTTGGAGTATTAAAAATAAATACTGTCTCATTAAAACATTGTTAGAAAAATTCAGTGAGATAAAACATAAATAAAGGAAAAAAAGTACAACTACTCCCTTGATGTTGATCGTTGAAAATCTTTACGTTGATGCATTCCAATCTCATAAACCAATTCTTGAATATAGATGTCGGCAACGATTTTGTGAGTAAATCGGCCACATTGTCACTTAAGCCAATTTGTTGGACTTCATTGTTGCCATTTTTTTGAAACTCATAAGTATGAAAGAATTTTGAAAAAATATGTTTCTTCCCGTCAATGTGATATAGTCTCATTTAAGTTGTGCAATACAAACTGCATTGTCTTCGTATAAAATTGTTGAACTATCTTTTGTTAAAGTTAACTTGCATGATGCTTGGATATGATGGGTCATGTTCCTCAACCATTCACATTCTCGGCATGTATCGTGGATTGCAATAATTTCAGAATGATTTGAGAATGTTGTTATCAAGGATTGCTTCACAGATCTCCATAATATAACTGATCCTCCACGTGTAAACACATATCCTATTTGTGATTTAACTTTATATGGGTTAGAAAGAAAATCTACATATGCATATCCCATTAAAGTGGATCTCGACTTTTGAAAATATAATAATTTCAAATCAACAGTGCCCTTTAGGTAACAAAAATTACGTGTTAATTTTCCAATGTCTTTGAGTTAGTGTAGAGCTATATCTTGTAAGTAAATTTACAGAAAAAGTTATGTCAAGTTGAGTTCAGTTTGCAAAATAAGTTAATGCTTCAATTGTACTATGATATAATACTTCAGGACCAAGAATCTTCTCTTCATCTTCAAGTAGAAGAAATGAATCATTTTTCATATCAAGTGATCAAACAACTATAGGTGATATCAATGGATATGAATTATCCATATAAAAAACGTTTTAAAAATTATATATATATATATATATATATGTGTGTGTGTGTGTGTGTGTGTGTGTGTGTGTGTGTGTGTGTGTGTGTGTGTGTGTGTGCACGTGCGCGCGCGTGCTTGTGCGTGCGTGTGCGTGTGCGTGTGAATAAATAATCCTTTTGGGAAGTGCTCAATCCACAACCCAATACAAAATTTGATTTTTCCCAAATTTTTTATCTGAAATTCATTTTTCAAATAAACTACAGTTTTGTTGAGCTCTTAGGAGTGCCAATTAAATTTAAATCATCAACATAAATTGTCATAATTGTAAATTCAATATTCATTTTTTTTTCTGAAAACATATGGGCAGATATCGTCATTTTTATAACTATCCTTCAAAAAATATTTGCTAAAACGATTACATCACATGCGTCCGAAATATTTCAATTCATATAATGATCTTCATAATTTAATGGAGAATATAATTTTTGGGCATATATAATTTGTTCCTAGCACTTGAAGCACTTCGAGAACTTTCATCTATATATGTCACTATCAAGTGAACCATACAAATAGGTAGTTACTACATTTATAAGGCGCATATCAAACTTTAGTGACACAGTTAAACTAATTAAGAATTTAAAAGTGATGATGTCCATTACGATAGAATATATTTTCTCATAATAAATTTCAGGTCCTTGTGAAAAACCTTGAGCTACGAGTCGAACTTTATATCTTGTAATTTTATTATTTTTATTTCTCTTTCGTATAAAAACGCATTTGTATCTTACAGGGATTACATTTTCAGGTGTTCGAACTACAGGTTTAAATAATTTCGTTTCTCTAAGGAATTCAATTTCGCCTATATGGCCTCTTTCCATTTTGACAGTCTTTAACAACTGTGTTTCGGGATCTTCATTTTGCATAATGTCAAGAGCCACGTTAAATGAGAAGATATTGTCTATAAAAACATTATTTCGTTTCCATAATTTATGAGATAACATATAATTTATTTTTTGAAACTTATGATTTTTCAGAAACCATATTTTCAATATTTGATTGATCAATCTTTTTTAATGTTACTTTTTCCAAAGTTTTAGTTGGTTTTTCTCTTGTATTTTTTTTCAAGGTACAAGGTCTTTTGAACCTATTGGTCATCACGCTTCTGACGTATTTGAGATTCATTTATTAAAACCGATTATTCTATAAGGATATCAATTTTTGGTGGAATATTTTGCATTGGAATAAATGATTTTGTCATTTTTCTTGTATCAACAAATACATCAAGAAATTGATTTACAACATTTTGCAAATGAATGATTTTTTCAACCTCTTGCTCACATGATTATTACGGGGATCAAAGTGAGATAGAGTTGTTTCATTCCAGTAAATTTTACCTATTTTTTAGGATATAGTTTTCCCCTCCCAAAATTGGAAAGTCATTTTATCCAAAATGACAATCTGTAAAATGTGAGTAAATAAATCACCCGTTAAAGGTTCAATATAACTAATAATAGATAGTGAATCAAAAAACTCACATAAATCTCAAGTCTTCATTGGAGACCTATTTTAGTACGTTATGGGAAGGAAATAGGGACTTGGACAGTACAACCAAAATGCAAATTGTAAAGGTGATTATTGATAAAAGGTATTTGGTTTTATACGAAGTAATGATACAGCATATAATACGTCATTACTACAAATAGAAGCTGAGGTTTTGTTTTCATAAGTAACAGTCTAGCAATAAGCTGTAGACGCTTAATAAACGGCTCAGCTAAACCATTTTGTGTATGGACATATGCAATTAAATTTTCAATTACAATCCAAATTGTTATACAATAATCATCAAATGCTTATAATCTAAATTCACCAACATTATCAAAACAAATAGTCCTAGTTAAGTAATCAAGAAATTCCACTCGTAATTTTATGATTCGAGCAAGTAGCCTAGCATGGCTACATTTCCAGAGGAAAGTAGGCAAACATATGATCATCTAGTAGAAAATTAATTAATACCATAAAATAACGAAATGGTCCA